GTAGTCCCATGAAATGGTAGGCTGTAGGACCATGAGATGGTAGGCTGTAGGACAATGAGATTGTAGGCTGTAGTCCCATGAAATGGTAGGCTGTTGGACCATGAGATGGAAGGCTGTAAGACCATGAGATTGTAGGCTGTAGGACCATGAAATGGTAGGCTGTGGGACCATGAGTTGGTAGGCTGTTGGACCATAAGATGGTTGGCTGTAGGACCATGAGATGCTAGGCTGTAGGACCATGAGATGTAGGCTGTAGGACCATGAGATGTAGGCTGTAGGACCATGAGATGGTAGGCTGTAGGCTGTAGGACCATGAGATGGTAGGCTGTAGGACCATGAGATGGTAGGCTGTAGGACCATGAGATAGTAGGCTGTAGTACCATGAGACTGTTGGCTGTAGGGCCATGAGATGGTAGGCTGTAGGACCATGAGATGGTAGGCTGTAGGACCATAAGATGGTAGGCTGTAGGACCATGAGATGGTAGGCTGTAGGACCATGAGATGGTAGGCTGTAGTACCATGAGACAGTTGGCTGTAGGGCCATGAGATGGTAGGCTGTAGGACCATGAGATGGTAGGCTGTAGGACCATGAGATGGTAGGCTGTAGTACCATGAGATGGTTGGCTGTAGGGCCATGAGATGGTAGGCTGTAGGGCTATGTAGAAGGACAGTGATCGGTATATGATGGTCAGTACACTACAGGGTTTCTAATATATAATACTCATTTAATATGTCCCCAGCACCTACTGTGTTTAACCAACTTATGAAGGTAGAGTCGTTTCAATATGTGACTTACAGATAGTTTACAGTGAAGCCGTACCACATTTACTGGAATACTGAGAAATTTGGAGTGTAATAAAAACGTCAAATTGATGTATTATAAGTTTTGTTTTAATAAACATTTCTTGTGGTGTTTACGGCTGTACAGTTTCCATGGAGTACTAGGTGCGGTGATTGAGATCACAGCCCCATGATAAAGTAAATGGGGTGTTCCTGAAGATGACAACCTTGATAGTAATACATGGTGTGGTTAAGTATAACTTCGCATGAGAGAAGATGTTTCCTGTTAGATAGCGATTTCCTCAAGTATAATCGTTGATATCACGATGACTATCATTCATTTGAAACAGGTGTCCCGTGCTCTCAGCGACCCCTCATATAATAACTGCTCCCAATACAACCCTCAAGTGCTCATGTGCACGTAACAAAACCAAGTATTGCTCCCTTTACAAATGTAGTGGATAGAAAAAGTAATCCTGGTAAATGTTGGCGAAATGGGACGCTGGCTCTGTGTTGTGCTGCAGTGGTGCAGAAAACACTGAATGGAAAGTGTAGATGTAATATAGCGTGTCTTGTTACTCCCCTTGACCTGCTTGGCCCTCTTCTACTGCAGGCTGACTTTCTTGCCAGCTTTGTTCTCCTCAAGTAGGCGTAAGAACAGTGGCTTCCTTTTCAACATTTTCATGTTTTGGATGTGACATATGAATGTTATGTGAAATTAAATTTATCTTTTTTTGAATTTCTTTCCTGTATGAAGTGACTTTGTGAGCAGATTTGTAGATTGCATTTCAGTATAAACACATGAAAAGTTGTAGGGTTTGGTGGTGCAATATTCATGATATTGCAGGCCTTAGGTGATGAATTAGGCTGAGTTGGCCTTAAAGCCACTGAGCAGTATTTTAGTTATGTCACGGTGTCAGTTTAATGTGGGAGGAAAGACTGAAAAGTGCAGGTGTTAGACATTAACCTCTGTGTTGAATCCCATGAACACGGATATGGTGTCATGAATTAGGACATCACCAGTAATATACATGTGAGGATTAGAACCTGGGACCCCCTTCCTGCTAAGCTGACACACAAGCTACTGACACGGCAGCCCTTCGTCCACATCAACATGTGTCAAAATATTCTCTTAGACCATGGTGTTATAAGAAGATTGACACTATTGATATCTTAGTTTATAGTTTAGTGTATCATCAATCATTAAATCAATTGTTGCCAACCTAGTAAAGTCAATATGTAAGTTGTTCCAATCTTCAACCAAATGTTTTGCACATGAAGCATTGGACTATGTATATGGCTTCATTGACGATGGAGATTTGTGTTTTGTCTATAACTGTACTGAGGTGTCTGCCAAGGAAGATGAATATTGGTGGTTTGATCCCCGGCTACATCATACCAAAAGACTGTAAAAAATGGAACTTGTTGTTACCCTGCCTGGCATTCGGCATTAAAGAGATAAAACAAGGACTGGCTTGGAGTCATTTTTCTGTGTCTTAGCAGGGTATCCATGTTACAACTGTGGCATGGTGTTTCAGTAGGCAAGCACTGTAAAACCAGTATTAGTCCAGACTAGTATAAGCATAAAGACACACACATACATACACAGAGACAGACACACATATATACCATGTATACAGACACACACACACACACACACATACACAGAGACAGACATACACACAGAGACAGACATACACACACACACACACGCATATATACCATGTATACAGACACACATACACAGAGACAGACACACACACACACACACACACACACACACACACACACACACATACATACACAGAGACAGACACACATATATACCATGTATACAGACACACACACACACACACACACAGAGACAGACATACACACAGAGACAGACATACACACACACACACACGCACGCACACATACAGACAAGCACACACACAAGCATGTGCACGGACACACACAGGCAGCTGAGAAACACACACACGTCACTATATAAGTGCTGTAATCCTGAATGCAACGTTAACCCCATTTCACCTCCCCACCTAACTGTACTGTAAACTGATTCCTGATCATTATCTGAAGTATCTTGCAAGTCAAGGCTGTTTTTCCCCTTTCTCAGCTTGAAGTGTATAAAAATTTATGATCGCTTCTATATTCATTTTATTGCCTATTGGTGATGTGAATGGTGAATTATTTGTTGCGCTAGGCAATGATAAAGCGTTGAAGCCCTCTGCCACTGTAACCTCTATTCTTCAGAAGGGTGATATTTCTATGGGGATACTTAAGCACATCAACTTAGTGCTTACCCTTTGTAGGGAGCTTTCATGTCGTAATAAATGTGCCTTTCTTCCCCCGAAAAACAGGACAAAAAGCCGTGAGAGACTTCTTTGTTGATGTCCTAAGGGACCATGTCGCAAATTTTGGAGGCAATTTCTGTAAAAATTGTCACGTTGAAAAGAAAAAAATTGTCTGTGGAAGTCTCCAGTGACTTCCCTTTGAAGTAGGTGAACCGAGCATAGGGGAAATTGTCTGTGATTTCTTGCCTTTTTTGCAGTCTTTTGACTAAATATTCTGAGGCTAGTTGACACTCCTTGAAGACTACCAGCCAACTGTTTTGAAAAGCTGGGTTTTTAGACAGATCTGAGATTTGTTATATCATCATACAAACTTCATACTTCAAAAAAAAGAAAGTTGTATGTTAAAGTTTGTTAAGATTTCTGTTTGAATGTCTAAGGCAACAGTTAAATAACATGTAAAACTATTGTATTAGAATGTAATGAATATCTCCAGTGCTATTATATTTGCATTTGATCCATATCCTGTATATTGAGGGTATTCTACTCAATTAAAATGTAATATGACAACCAATGTCAGAGGGCACATTTTGTATTTGAAAACAAACTTGCTCTTCATTCCTAAGGGTGCATGTGACTAGGCTGTGTATTCACGCCACAGCCACTCATCAGGACAAAGCCAGGTGTAGTTCAACACTACAGGCAGGCTCAACCAGGGTGTCTTAGCTTTAAAAATAAAGTTAGAAAAATAATTGGGGCTCGTCACCGTGTTGCCTCTATCTAACACTTGATGTTTAGAGACTGGTGTGTTTGCCGGCTGTGTCGTCAAGATAAGAAGTTGGAAGCAAAGTAAATACAGGACTTTGTTGCCAACTTGGGCTGGGTTTGGATAGTTTGTATAGTGAATACTCTCAGCCTCCATAGATCCCTTTCCTCTCTTCTCGCACAAATCCCCACACTTTTTGCTGTTCTAACGAGGTGTAATTTCTGCCCAGCCTGCTTTCTTCATTGTTTGAATGGCTTCCTTTTTGAAAAGGTCATGTGTGGTTTGTCTTGTACTGTTATTACCTGCACAAAAGTTGGATACAACTTCTCTTACCCCCCCCTTTCCTCCTCCTGTCTTCCCCCTCCCACAGCCACTGCTTCTGATCTCAGACAAGCTCAGTCAGCCTTCATTTCTTTGGGGGGCCACAGGTGGCCCAGTCCTCTAAGCCACGCAAGTTGTGCCTCTTGGGCTCGCCAGAAACCTGCGATCCTGGGTTTGAATCCAGGTTCTCCCTGATTATGCTTTTAGGTTTGTCAGCACCATACGCGTGTGCTTCCTTCCCACGTCAAGCTGACACACCGTGATATACCTGGAATATATTGTTCACAAAGTGGTTAAACCCAAGGCCCTCACTCACTTGATTTCTCAGTGGTGTTGCTGGATTGGTCATTGGGATACCGTGAAAATATTGATGCAGTACGTAGTGTATGTTATCTGTATGTTTCTTACTGTTAAATCTTAACATGTTTATGTTTTACTGGTTAGAAGTTTATATGCTTTTTCTTCCAAGAAGATTGAAAATTTCTTTATGCTTCTTTTTGCATGCAAATACAATAGTGCAAATTATTTGAAATATTCAAAACTGAATTGATTAAGTGTTTAAATAAATACACTAGCTGGTTTTTGTTTTTTTTTAAATTTTAGAAATTACAACTGCTGTTTTGTATTAGAGACTGAAGTTGGATAAAAAATGGGATTCCTTGGGGCAAACTTAATTTCCAAAAACGTACACCAAAACATCTTTTGTTTGAGTCTCTTATCATTCCTTTTCATTGTGGAATACAACTGTTTCATGATGTGACTTTGCAATCTTTGTCAGAGAGGGACAATATAGCTGACAATGTGATAGTTGTGAGGAATTTGACCACCTGTTTGTTTTGCAGTGTAAGGGAGACCTGGTGCCGCACCATGTGCCAAAGACGATAGCATGCTGTGACAGCGGTGATGACTGCAACTGGGAACTGACACCCAAAGTGGTGGAGCGAAGCACAACACCTGTACCAGGTAGGGCGTTAGTTACTTTCCTAGCACAACACCTGTACCAGGTAGGGCGTTAGTTACTTTCCTTGCACAACACCTGTACCAGGTAGGGCGTTAGTTTCCTAGCATAACACCTGTATCAGGTAGGGCGTTAGTTACTTTCCTAGCACAACACCTGTACCAGGTAGGGCATTAGTTATTCTCCCAGCGCAACACCTGTACCAGGTAGGGCATTAGTTACTCTCCCAGCACAACACCTGTACCAGGTAGGGCATTAGTTACTCTCCTAGAACAACACCTGTACTAGGTAGGTTGTTAGTTACTCTCCCAGCACAACACCTGTGCCAGGTAGGGCATTAGTTATTCTCCCAGCACAACACCTGTACCAGGTAGGTTGTTAGTTACTCTCCTAGCACAACACCTGTACCAGGTAGGGCATTAGTTACTCTCCTAGCACAACACCTGTACCAGGTAGGTTGTTAGTTACTCTCCCAGCACAACACCTGTACCAGGTAGGGCATTAGATACTCTCCCAGCACAACACCTGTACAAGGTAGGTTGTTAGTTACTCTCCCAGCACAACACCTGTACCAGGTAGGGCATTAGATACTCTCCCAGCACAACATCTGTACCAGGTAGGGCATTAGTTACTCTCCCAGCACAACACCTGTACCAGGTAGGGCATTAGATACTCTCCCAGCACAACATCTGTACCAGGTAGGGTGTCAGTTACTCTCCTTGCACAACACCTGTACCAAATAGGGCATTAGTTACTCTCCCAGCACAACACCTGTACCAGGTAGGGTGTCAGTTACTCTCCCAGCACAACACCTGTACCAGGTAGTTTGTTAGTTACTCTCCTTGCACAACACCTGTACCAGGTAGGGCATTAGTTACTCTCCCAGCACAACACCTGTACCAGGTAGGGTGTCAGTTACTCTCCCAGCACAACACCTGTACCAGGTAGGGCATGAGTTACTCTCCCAGCACAACACCTGTACCAGGTAGGGCATTAGTTACTTTCCTAGCACAACACCTGTACCAGGTAGGGTGTCAGTTACTCTCCTTGCTCAACAACTGTACCAGGTAGGGCATTAGTTACTCTCCCAGCACAACATCTGTACCAGGTAGGGCTTTAATTAATCTCCCAGCACAACACCTGTACCAGGTAGGGTGTTAGTTACTCTCCTTGCACAACACCTGTACCAGGTAGGGCATTAGTTACTCTCCCAGCACAACACCTGTACCAGGTAGGGCGTTAATTATTCTCCCAGCACAACACCTGTACCAGGTAGGGCTTTAATTACTCTCCCAGCACAACACCTGTACCAGGTAGGGTGTTAGTTACTCTCCTTGCACAACACCTGTACCAGGTAGGGCATTAGTTACTCTCCCAGCACAACACCTGTACCAGGTAGGGCATTAATTATTCTCCCAGCACAACACCTGTACCAGGTAGGGCATTAGTTACTCACCCAGCACAACACCTGTACCAGGTTGGGTGTCAGTTACTCTCCTAGCACAACACCTGTACCAGGTAGGGTGTTAGTTTCCTAGCACAACACCTGTGCCAGATAGGGTGTTAGCTAGTTTCCTAGCACAACACCTGTACCAGGTAGGGCATTAGTTACTCTCCAAGCACAACACCTGTACCAGGTAGGGTGTTAATTATTCTCCCAGCACAACACCTGTACCAGGTAGGGCTTTAATTACTCTCCCAGCACAACACCTGTACCAGGTAGGGTGTTAGTTATTCTTCCAGCACAACACCTGTACCAGGTAGGGTGTTAGTTACTCTCCTAGCACAACACCTGTACCAGGTAGGGTGTTAGTTACTCTCCCAGCACAACACCTGTACCAGGTAGGGTGTTAGTTTCTCTTCCAGCACAACACCTGTACCAGGTAGGGTGTTAGTTACTCTCCCAGCACAACACCTGTACCAGGTAGGGCTTTAATTACTCTCCCAGCACAACACCTGTACCAGGTAGGGTGTTAGTTACTCTCCTAGCACAACACCTGTACCAGGTAGGGTGTTAGTTACTCTCCTTGCACAACACCTGTACCAGGTAGGGTGTTAGTTACTCTTCCAGCACAACACCTGTACCAGGTAGGGTGTTAGTTACTCTCCCAGCACAACACCTGTACCAGGTAGGGCTTTAATTACTCTCCCAGCACAACACCTGTACCAGGTAGGGTGTTAGTTACTCTCCTAGCACAACACCTGTACCAGGTAGGGCATTAGTTACTCTCCCAGCACAACACCTGTACCAGGTAGGGCTTTAATTACTCTCCCAGCACAACATCTGTACCAGGTAGGGCATTAGTTACTCACCCAGCACAACACCTGTACCAGGTTGGGTGTCAGTTACTCTCCTAGCACAACACCTGTACCAGGTAGGGTGTTAGTTTCCTAGCACAACACCTGTGCCAGATAGGGTGTTAGCTAGTTTCCTAGCACAACACCTGTACCAGGTAGGGCATTAGTTACTCTCCAAGCACAACACCTGTACCAGGTAGGGTGTTAATTATTCTCCCAGCACAACACCTGTACCAGGTAGGGCTTTAATTACTCTCCCAGCACAACACCTGTACCAGGTAGGGTGTTAGTTATTCTTCCAGCACAACACCTGTACCAGGTAGGGTGTTAGTTACTCTCCTAGCACAACACCTGTACCAGGTAGGGTGTTAGTTACTCTCCTTGCACAACACCTGTACCAGGTAGGGTGTTAGTTACTCTTCCAGCACAACACCTGTACCAGGTAGGGTGTTAGTTACTCTACCAGCACAACACCTGTACCAGGTAGGGCTTTAATTACTCTCCCAGCACAACACCTGTACCAGGTAGGGTGTTAGTTACTCTCCTAGCACAACACCTGTACCAGGTAGGGCATTAGTTACTCTCCCAGCACAACACCTGTACCAGGTAGGGCTTTAATTACTCTCCCAGCACAACACCTGTACCAGGTAGGGTGTTAGTTACTCAGGTAGGGTGTTAGTTATTCTCCCAGCACAACACCTGTACCAGGTAGGGCTTTAATTACTCTCCCAGCACAACACCTGTACCAGGTAGGGCTTTAATTACTCTCCCAGCACAACACCTGTACCAGGTAGGGTGTTAGTTACTCAGGTAGGGCATTAGTTACTCTCCCAGCACAACACCTGTACCAGGTAGGGCTTTAATTACTCTCCCAGCACAACACCTGTACCAGGTAGGGTGTTAGTTACTCTCCTAGCACAACACCTGTACCAGGTAGGGCATTAGTTACTCTCCCAGCACAACACCTGTACCAGGTAGGGTGTTAGTTACTCAGGTAGGGTGTTAGTTACTCAGGTAGGGTGTTAGTTATTCTCCCAGCACAACACCTGTACCAGGTAGGGTGTTAGTTACTCTTCCAGCACAACACCTGTACCAGGTAGGGTGTTAGTTATTCTCCCAGCACAACACCTGTACCCCAATGGGGTGGATCATTGCTCATGCTGTCAGTCCCTGGTTTAATTGGTTTGCAGTTATTGACTAATGTGTCTGCAGTATTTACAGACTGGCAAACAGCTATGCATACATCTTCCTTTGTGTGTCCATTCATTTTACTAGTGTATTGCTTTCAGCCAGAGTGTATGAGTTAACCTTTATCTTGCTGTAAAACCTTAGGGAACCAGGTTGCATGGTCTCTGTCGGGGGACTTTGAATCATGGCCAAGTCTCTTAATGCAGTGTTTAGTGAAATGACGGGGACATGAATAAATGGGATTTATGGTGGTAGCGGCAAGGTCACAAGTACAGGTGTAGAATGTACGTGTGACCCTTGTGCTATCAGTGACAACTGAATGAAGTAGAGTACACTAGGGTCTGACAGGAGACCCTGGTGCCCCCCCTGTGTCTCTCTTTCCCCCCCCCCCCTAGGCTTCAACTATTTGGGACTGCCTCCGTGGTCTAGTGGTTGAGCGTCCGCCCAGAGAGCGGAAGGTCCGGGTTCAATCCCTGACCGCGTCATACCAAAAGACGTTAAAAGATGGTACTTGTTGTTACCCTATGTGGCGCTCAGCATTAAGGGGCTAAAACAAGGACTGGTCGGCTCGGAGTCAGTATACTGTGTCTGAGTGGGGTATTCATGTTAAACTGCGGCATGGTATCTCAGTGAGCTACCACTATAAATCGGCATCAGTCCGGACTAGTACAAGCAGCCACACACATACATACACGTGCATGCACGTCGCTATCAAAGTGCAATAATAATGGACGCGACGTTTAACCCCATTTCACCTCACCTTCAACTACTGGGGTGCTACCTGTCCCTCTGCCCCCCAAGCTTCCATTACTGGGGTGCTACCTGTCCCTCTGTCCCCCAAGCTTCCATTACTGGGGTGCTACCTGTCCCTCTGCCCCCCAAGCTTCCATTACTGGGGTGCTACCTGTCCCTCTGTCCCCCAGGCTTCCCTTACTGGGGTCCTACCAGTCCCTCTGCCCCCCAAGCTTCCATTACTGGGGTGCTACCTGTCCCTCTGCCCCCCAAGCTTCCATTACTGGGGTGCTACCTGTCCCTCTGTCCCCCAAGCTTCCATTACTGGGGTGCTACCTGTCCCTCTGCCCCCCAAGCTTCCATTACTGGGGTGCTACCTGTCCCTCTGCCCCCCAAGCTTCCATTACTGGGGTGCTACCTGTCCCTCTGTCCCCCAGGCTTCCATTACTGGGGTGCTACCTGTCCCTCTGCCCCCCAAGCTTCCATTACTGGGGTGCTACCTGTCCCTCCGTCCCCCAGGCTTCCATTACTGGGGTGCTACCTGTCCCTCTGCCCCCCAAGCTTCCATTACTGGGGTGCTACCTGTCCCTCTGACCCCCAGGCTTCCATTACTGGGGTGCTACCTGTCCCTCTGCCCCCCAAGCTTCCATTACTGGGGTGCTACCTGTCCCTCTGCCCCCCCCCCCCCCCCCCCACACACACACACCGGCTTCCATGACTGGGTTACTACCAATGTAATCATCTGGTTTGTGTGTTGCAGAGTACGAGGTGCCCAAGAAGTATGAAAACATCACCCACATTGCGCTGCTGATATCAGTGACTGTGTGTTTTGTGATTCTCATCATCACTGTCACCTTTGTGTACCTCAGGTAGGTGGCCAACATATCTGACAACTGTCAGTCTCTTCCTGTGTCATGTATCCAGTGAATAACTGTTACTACTTATGTGGCTTGTGATTTCTGTTTGTGCTGATGATGTTATCCAGTGTTCCATGTGGCTGAGTGATACCTCGTGCTTGAAAGAAGCAGTAACATGGAAATCAGGTGTTCATGATTGCTCCTGTGTATGCAGCAGGGTGGTCTCCCAGAAACTGTGTGATGTAGTTACAACTGCGGATGCGGAGCTTGATGGCACAGATTGTTGCCTTCTCTATCAACCACTAAATATACTACTCATAAGAAGTTAAGAACACCCCTTGATTTCATATTATTGGGTGATTTGTCATGACATAACAGCATGCTTGTTGTAAGAAGTGACTGCTTGTTGTAAGAGGCAACTAACGGAATTGGGTGGCCAGGCTCGCTGACTTGGTTGACCAATGCTCATTATGTCAATCACTGGTTTGTGGGGTTCAGACTCGATGATTTAAGTTCTGCCGTCATATAGCCTGAGTATTGCTGAGTGTGGCCTTAAACAACAAACAAACAAACATGGCATGACAGATTTACTATAGTAATATGAAAGAATCAGTGTTCATTAACTTCTTTTGAGCAGTTGGTATATTTTATGTTCAAAATTAAGAATGACAGTCAAGGAGTCCTTTTTATTATTCGGATGTTAAAAGTTGCATATTTAGGAGGTCCATAGATTTACATGCTGCAGAGGGACCCCAAGATCCACCTTAATGTTGCACTTTGGTATTGATGTACCCAGATACCTTGTATCATAATACAAGCATCAAGTCAGGTATTTTTTCAAAACAGTTCATGTATGTATACTACTCAAAAGAAGTTAAAGAACACCCAATTCTTTCATATTGCAATTGTTAATCTGTTATGGCAGGACAGATAATCTATAGGAATGTGAAATAATCAGGTGTTCTTTAACTTCTTTTGAGTTGTATATATCGATGTATTAAAAAGTAGGAAATTAGATTTTAAAGTATTATTATCTGATGGAATGTACAAAAAGTCTTACACCCTTATGATTATTTTACAAAAACATTCTATGTATATCATATGCTTTGAAGTTTCTCTTGATTTCTCTTAAACAAGATTCTTGATATGGCAACCTTGTCCAGATTATTAAGCAGAATAGGTCCAATGTATCAACATTCTTGCCGTAATCAAATGACAATCAGGTGGTCGCAGTATGGGGCTTGTCTGATTGTGCAACAAAAATTATTCACAGGCTGAAATATTGCTGACTGGTTAATTAAACAACCTTTAAGTCACATGGTTAAAAATAATTGGAATATTTCAAGTGGCATGTTTTTCATATAGCAACTTTACAGTGAAGACATGTAGGCAAGTACATGCTCTCACCATTGACAACATGTATTTCTGGTGTGTAGGGGCACAGGTGGCCCAGTCATCTAAGGCGCCACAATACGCTGTGTAGAGAGTCCCTTGGGCAACCCAGAAACCTATGAACCTGGGTTTAAATCCAGATTCCCCTGATTATATTACTAGGTCTGTCCACACCATATCCGTGCTCGTGGGTTTCACCAAAGTGGTAAACGTCTGAGACCTGCATCACTTTGCCCTTTTCTCCCACATTAAGCAGACACGCCGTAGTATGACTGGCATACTGTTCAAAGCGGTGTTAAACCCAACTGACTCGCTGACTCTGTCTATGTTGATGTTGATGTTGTTGCATGATGATGAAGATGATGATGACTGATGACACTCTGTAGGTATCGTAAGCGTGAGCTGGAGAGGGAGCAGATCCTGGAAGAAGCAGAGAACGAGACGTTCATTGGGACAGGGGAGACGCTACATGACCTCATAGAACAGTCCCAGTCTTCTGGCAGTGGCTCAGGGCTTCCATTACTGGTGAGAGAGAATCTTTTGTTGCAATGAGCATTAGGCTTGAAGCTGTATGGGCCATCAGTAATATTTTTTTACCTGCACAGACTGACAGTAAGCATTATCTTTTTACAGTTACATTCCTTCTGCACTGCATTGACAATCATGTAGATGTATTCAGCAGCACTTAACTGTTGCTTCGTTGATTTGTTAAACAGTACTGAACTGTTGCATTGTTGATGTGATCAACAGTCATCAACAATGCCTGCTGAGATCTGTGTCCCGCCTGTGGTCTAGAGGTAGAGCATCTGTCTGGAGAGTGAAAGGTCAGGGGTTCAATTCACGGCCCTGCCATATCAAAAGAAAGTAAAAGCTGCTACTTGTTGTTACCCTGCCTGGCATGCAGCATTAGGGGGCTAAAACAAGGACTGGTTGGCTCGGAGTCAGTATACTGTGTCTGAGTGGGGTATTCATGTTAAACTGGTATCTCAGTGGCCTAGCACTATAAAATCGGCATTAGTCCGGACTAGTTCAAGCAGCCACACACACATACATACACACGTGCATGCACATTGCTACATAAGTGCAATAATCTTAAACGCAATGTTAAACCCCATTTCACCTCCCCTCAGATCTATGAGGATCTACCTATGTTGATCGCTCATAGTTGAAGATAGTAATATTATTGCAAAATGATTAGGATAAGCTCAATATGTTTCGCACCCGAATAGTGCCATTAAGTTTTTCGGATCACATAAGTCGCTGGGAATTGAGGTAGGCTTGGTCTTAGGAGCACATCCTGGAAGATGTGTGAGTTGGTTGACTTCAAAGTTTTTCTGTACTTTTTTTTAGCAACAATAACAATGGGGAAGTAGAGTTGTGAAACCTTAAATTCTATTTTCAATTCAGTTTTGAACCAGCGGAAGATTGGCTTCCCCTAAAAGCTCATTCCTCAAGCAGAAGTAACATATCACCTTACCTCTCGACTCATTAAGGAAACACTTAGCCGGTTGTAGTTTTTACCAGCAATGTCATTATTCATAGCATTGTAAGACGGTAAATATCAGCTAACTGCAAAAACACCACTCCCCGAACAAATGAGGATATAGATAGGCTCTGGTATTGACAACTTCTCGCTCATGTCGTTAGCGCCTGACCCAAGTTAGTTTTATCAATAAAACCATGTCATCAGTTTCATAATTGGCACTGATGAATATTCAAAGGTTATGATAAGGTTTGTTTTCTGGTGATCTCAAGTCTGGCTTTGTCTGCAAATAGGTGTTAGTTTTTTTCTTTATTGTGGAAGTGAATACATCTCCAATGGTGTGGATGTGTTTCGTGGCCTGCAAGTGCAACTGACTTCTTCATGCACAATGACAAGATAGAGGACATGTCAGTCTGTCACAGTGACTGACACCAAGGATTATAATCCTGTAATGCTCTGTTGTCAAAGGAACAGATCACTTCTCAGAATGTGCTGGAAATACTCGTTTGTGACATTTATGTGTCTTTATAATCCTATTCTTCATAAGAAAAAAAATATGCACTTGCCAAACCAGAAGAGTTTGGGTTTGTGTGATTTTTGAATGATAACGTGTAAATCTTATGTAATAATTTTTGTCTAGCACAAAATAGGTATCTGATGCTTATTGCAAGTGATGACTGAACTGGGGATCAAAAGCTAGTCAATCAAAAGTCAAATAGCATAGGATATAATAGCATTGGGTATAATAGTTAACAAGCTATTGGAGTGCAGGTACATGAACAGCGTCCCTTTCTGCTTGGAATACATGAGGTGAAGATGAACACCACAGCCAACTTGACTGCAGCTGATTGAGGACTAGTTTATGGAATATTAACAGAAATGAAGTATATCTTCCAGATTTGCCCTTGTCTCATGACTACTGGTCATTTCTAACCCTGTTAAATGTGATGGATCCAAAGTATGCAAGCGTGGTGTCATGAATAGTTAGTTGATGTCAACTTAGAAAGTGTTATGTTCTGTAAGAATCAGTGCAGATTACTATATAATTAAACTGATTTTCAGGTTCAACGAACAATTGCCAAGCAGATTCACCTCATCAAGAGTATAGGCAAGGGGCGTTATGGTGAAGTTTGGAAGGGCAAGTGGAGAGGGGAGAATGTTGCTGTCAAGATATTCTTCACAACAGAAGAGCAGAGCTGGTTCCGTGAAACCGAGCTCTACCAAACTGTCCTCCTAAGACATGACAATATACTCGGTAAGTCCTTCCCAGCGTCCCTTAGATACTGTTACATACGTTTATTCAACATTGTTGTTTCATTCTGTTATTTGATGCTGTTTTATGATAGTGTGCTTTCTTCCAATGGTGATTCTGGGGCAGAGAAGGTCCCCATGACCCCATGGACCATGGCACCAATTTTCCAGAATTTGCCAGAGACTCCATTTGTTAAAAGGATTTTAAAAATGACAACTTCCTCTAAGAACTCCCTATTGAGAATTCTTGGGCAGATGTTGGCCCCAGTTTCTCATGAGTGTCACAAGAGCCAGCTGATGAGGATTAATGGGTACAATGTGTAAGTAGTGTTTTGCATCTTGCTGCAATGGCATGGATCGTTGCTCATGCTTTCAAGAAGTCACTTAACTAGGCCAAACCTGTTTACAGTCTGCCATGATATAGCTAGATTACTTCAGTTGGCGTAAAACAACATGCTCTCTGTCACTCAGTCACACGTTTGTTGGGGGCGGTCGGGTAGCCTAGTGGTTAAAGCATTCGCTTGTCACGCCGGAGACCCGGGTTCGATTCCCGACATGGGCACAATGTGTGAAGCCCATTTCTGGTGTCCCCCGCCGTGATATTGCTGGAATATTGCTAAAGCGGCGTAAAACCATACTCACTCACTCACAAGTTTGTTGACAAACCTGGTTTCAAATTTGATTTTAGTTTAGGTCAGTGGTGAATGTGTTCACTCTTCAGACAGCTTTCATTTCCCTTCTGTGTGGATGGTTCTTGTTCTGAATGTTGGTGGCCGAAACACTTCTGGTTCCATGCATACAATTCTGTCAGACGGATGAAGCTGTAGTTCCACTTCTGTCTTTGTGAAGAAAATACTGTCAGATCAACAGGTGTTTCTTGCAGTCAGTGCAATCTACATATCATCTTTATTCCCCTTCAGAAACAAAACCATGACAGATAATGTCAAAGGCCATGAGGTGTTGTCTAATATATAGAAAAAACCTTTTTGTTCCTTTTTAAAAAAAATGGCTTTATCTGCTGTTATTTGAATCTGTTTACTCTGTCGTGATTACTGCAGACACTCTGATGATAACGCAGGTTACACAGAATCATCTGGTGATATTATATCATACACTGTCAGACTGATAGGGACTTAAGAACACTTGTGAAAATGAGTATAAACAAAGGTCCCCTCCTGGCTGTGATAGGATCGATGTGATAAGACCAGTAGCCTTATAGTCTTCGTTGTTATCACATTGGCCTGGATCACATTTCGGAATGGAGAAATCACTTGATGGGCGGGTTGATTGTACTTCCGGAATTAACAGATTTGACTGATTTCTCTGACTTAAACCGTGTTAAGGTTGATGTATAGTTTCCCTTTAATTTGGCATAATGACCTATTGTTGCGTCTTGTTACTCGTTAAAATGCATGTTCTGAATGGCCAATGAATTCCTGGCTCAGAAGCAACTGCAACAACAATAGTGTTATGTCATCATTACAGTTTTAATCATGAGATTGGATTCGAACATTTTTTCAACTATTCATGATCATGAAAAATGAATTTCATTAAATTGAAATTGAAAAATTTCAATTGAATCTCATTGAAAACATCAGGGACATAAGGATAAATTTTATTTTGTTTGGGGTAGTGTCATCTTCAAACTTTTGACCCATTATTAGACAATTAGAATCTCTTGTTTGAAATATATTTTTCTTAATGTTTTGATGAAAAAAATCAATGCCCTGGACATTTATGAATTATGAAACTATATAATTCCTTTGAATACATTATCTCTATTAATTCATAGCCATAAATTCCTTTTTTTTCTGTAATCAAACTAACCATTATATAATTATATTTTGCTATAGTATGTGTCATGTAGTAACATTTAAAAAAAAAATTCTGAATAAAAATGGAATTAGGGTAATAAAGGTTTTTTTAACAATGTAATGTTGCCTTATTGTTTCCGTTTCAAAATTTGAAGCATAACTTGAGTTATTATGCTGTATCAAGGATAGATTAAGAAAAAACTGTGTTTGTCATGGAGAAGCCTAATATGTTATTCCCTTCCTTTGCACTGACTGTCAGCTGTGACTTATATACATCATAGAGATGGGAGGTGGACATTGATTCCAATCACAGTCGCTACAAGTGCCCCACATCAAATTACCAGAACTGACACCATAGATGTACAATCTGATTAGCAGGCTATTTTGTCCTTTGTTTTTGTCACATGTTTAGCTTCCGAGTCTCACAAAAAGTAATAGAAGTCGCGAGCTCTCTAAGTAGATTTGGAGAAAAAAGATGCGAGCGTCTTTGACACTAGCTGTAGCTGCGTGCAGGAAGGAAGATACCCTGATCTGATCTTTCCACAGCTGTGTTGTACAGTGAAACCAACAAAGGCTTCGCTCAACACCCTCGCCGAATATATTTGCGTTAATTTGATTGGATTTGAGGACTATGGAAAAGAAATTTTGACCTCTGAATACTGAAGAGTAACATGTATTGACGAAGTTGAGCTATTCTATGAGTGACAGGCACTATTTGTGCTACGCGAACAAAACGCGATTTCCTGCTGAGTCCGTCACGTTCTGTGACAGCTGTCAAAGATGCAGCGCTTTTGCCTTAATAAGGCTGTTTGTTCTGGCATGCAATCTGTTTTGCATTGTGCACTGTCTCAAAAACCTGCATGTTTGCTTCCCAAGATCTTAAGTATGTTACAAGTTTTCCTGATTTCACTTTGTAAGTCGACGTTTCTGATGCATGCATGTGACATACATAGCAGAGTTGGTCAGGGAACCATTGGAATACATACAGCTCAAAAGAAGTTAAATAACACTGATTCTTTCAAAAAACTACAGTTAATCTTTTAGGCAACGACATATGGTAATATGAATGAATTGGGTGTTCTTTAAATTCTTTTGAGTAGTATAATATGGGTGTATTTTTTCCTTGTTTTATTTGGTGGCTAGTTGTTACAGGGACTTTTATGATCAAGGTGTGTTTACTTCATTCATAAGTATATATACTGTATTCGACATAATATGCGCCCAGGGTGCTCTCAAAATTAGAAGTAGGGGGCTCTTATTAGAATATAATTTTGGTGAAATAGTTGAAAGATCGTAAATTTCATGGTTTATGCTAACAGCCTGAAATGATACAAAAGAAAAGTCTGTGTGTATTATACACAACAGATATATTTTTCCTAGAATTTAATTGCCCGTAACACACGAGTGCGTATTATACACAAATAAATAAGGCCTGTGTACATTGATCAATCGGAAGGGTGCTAATTGGAATTGTTCACTAGCCAATATATTAGCATATAACGCCGTGGGCGCTTATTACGTCGAATACGTTAGTTCCATTTTGAGTGTTTGTTACTTAAAATAACAAGTGCTAGCAAGTGTAAATTCCTTGAGATCTCATTTGAATTGAACAAGGTTGTTTGGAGACTCGTAAATGTGTATCACTTGTTCATTGCCACATTTAGTACTTCTCTGTGATCTGTGACATGTGAACCCTCAATAATGAGGTATCTAATCATCACAGACAGCCTCTGGAAAATGTATTATGCTCTAACAATGGAAGCAGCTGTATTCAAGATTATAAGAACAAGTTCTTTTCAATCTGGTGCTCAGATCACATGTGCAGCCGTCTAACTTGGAGAGGGCCCAAAGTAATACACACATTGAAATAGTTCTCTTCCGAGATTGTGCTAAAAGGGGTCAAACCAATACAGTAATGAACTACGACTCTTCTGAGATTGTTGGAGCGGATGCACAAAGGGATCCAAATACATTTGTGTTGAGAGAGGACGACATTTCTTTGAGACATATGTTCATTCCATGTGTTGAACACTGAATGATGAGAATCCATGTTGTTTTGGATTGTGATTTGAAGGTGTCATTTTTTATTAATGCAGGGGGGCGGTCGGGTAGCCTAATGGTTAAAGCGTTCCCTCGTCACGCCAAAGACCCGGGTTCGAATCCCGACATGGGTTCAATGTGTGAAGCCCATTTCTGGTGTCCCCCGCCGTGATATTGCTGGAATATTGCTAAAAGCGGCGTAAAACCAAACTCACTCACTCACTACCTCTGAAAAAAGGGCAGTGTGTGCACCCCACTCGGGATCCGCCAGTGGACAGGTCCATGTGTTCCAGCACAGAAAGACTATATGGAAGATTGTTTGTCCCGCCCTGAGCAGGTCGCATCCACTGTTTACACACAGTCTACCATGCATGTGATACACTTGCATTATCCCACCAGATTATTGTTGCGCTGTGATTTTCCTAGGCAGCTGTAACCTGATCGTCCACCAGGGAACCCAAGTACTTATAGTGGTCAGGACTAACCCTGGCCATTCAGGCACAGTCGGAATAATTTCACGAAATGGGCCCAGGAGGTAATGGTATCCGTGGAGACGTACGCAGGACAACAAATGGAGCCATTTGATTTTTCATGTCGGCTCGCGTTGGCATGAAATTGCAAAATTGCTTGGTGCCATATCGGGCGGAGGGTACTGCCAAAATAACAAAAGCTATGTTTGTAGTCTTTACATTGATTTGGGAATTTTTTGAGTGAGTGAACAAAGGCTGCTGCCACAGCCCATCTGAGAGGGTGGTCCACTAGGAGATGGGCTTCATTGGTATTGATCTTTCAAGGGTATAATAAAAGTTGTGGCAGGCATGCGAGTGATTCTGAGAACCAGCGTTGCATAATGGAGCTCATCGGAGGGAAACTCATGGGAGAGAGGTTTCCGGAGTTTCTGCTACATGCCTCGGAGTCTTTGATTGGCTACTTTCCGAGCTCTGTCCTGTGATACTCTCCGTAATGATGTCACTTAGTTGAAGGTTTTTCTGCCAATTCAAATTGTAGCCGATATTTAAGTGGAAAATCTGAATGTGTTTTTACCTGGTGGGAAATGTTGTCCATTTCTCCATGATATCTTGGTGTAAGCTGTAATGCAATTTTCAGGCGAGATATACCTAAAGATCAAGTTATTGTGAATTTACATTTG